ATTTGGTAAGTTCAATCAAGATACGATTAGATCTCCGTGNGTTGACTCATTGATCTGGTAGTAATTGTCATGGATTGGAAGAGTAAGAAAACTAGTCATTTTTCACAGACGGCGCTAAATCCACTCTCGGGAACAACAACAGTGGCCAGAGATCTTTATTGATGAATAATGTCACCTAGAGAATAACTCCGGGAGTATTACAATATTTTTAGGAGAGATAAGTGATGGGTGTATAGGACTCAATGTCATGTCAATGTGTCTCTCCTTGTGGAGAGAGCTTACATTATATAAGTTTAGTATGACGGTGACGTGAGGAAGAGTGCTTCTACTAATTTGGTAAGTTCAATCAAGATAAGATTAGATATTTGTGCGTATTTCGATTTTCTACCCCTCGTGCTCCTATTCAATCGGAGGAGGATCTTGGGTTTAGATTTGAGTTGGTGGGTGTTGGACTTGAATTAAAATGACAGAGTCAAGAGGACGAAAGATTCCACGAGATTACGCAGGAGAATGAGTAAGGGACAAAGGAGGGAAGGATTCCCTTGGGGTGGCCCCCTTGGGCGGCGCCCTTTTGGGGTAGCCCCTTGAGGGTGTCCCTCTTGAATTCCTTCTTGACTTTGACTTCTCTTGACTTGGGCTCTTCCTTGACTTAGACTTTAAGGTGACTGAGCCTTTCTTGATTAATTGGGCTTAGTCTGGTTAATTTCGGACTCATCAAATGTTACTGTATCATGTTACTGATTGTTTTATGCCACGGTCTTTTTTTTAATCCACGTCTACATGCCCTATATAGTTCAATACAATTTCTAATTTTTTTTTTTTTTGTAAATAAATCAATCCAATTTCAATAAATCAGTTGTGTAGTTAATTTGCGCTCAATTATGATACCGAGATGTATTTTTTAGTTTTATATTTTATTTCATTGTTTTACAGTAAATAAACATAAATCAAATAAATAAAAAATTAATTTTTTTTTAATACGGTATCCTTATTTTAGAAAGTTAGTATAACTTATTAGTATCGAAAAACCGAATATTCCCTTTACTAGGGCCAGATCGGTTCGTAATGGGCCCACCAAAGTCTTCAAATCCAACATGTATCTCGTGACGCCCAAGGAAAGCAATCACAACCGTCAAAATTTCCTCCCAATCTAATAGTCATGATCAATCAACTGTGGTGAAAAAGCAACCTCTCTTCTCTCTCAGTATAAATATACGAGAAGTGCAATTTGGATGGTACTTTCTGAAGGAAAAAGCTCACAGGGAAACTGCTCTTGTGATTAAAGAACTAACAATGGCGACGATCAAGGTCGTTAAAGCTCGTCAGATCTTCGACAGCCGTGGAAATCCGACCGTTGAAGTAATNACTTTCTGAAGGAAAAAGCTCACAGGGAAACTGCTCGTGTGATTGAAGAACTAACAATGGCGACGATCAAGGTCGTTAAAGCTCGTCAGATCTTCGACAGCCGTGGAAATCCGACCGTTGAAGTAATTAAGCTTTTGATATGGTTCATCAATGTCTTTCTGAGCATTTTGTTCGAGTAGTTCATTGTTATTATCTCTGATGGGACTTTTCTGAAATACTCCATGATGAAGACACATGTTCTCGGTATTTATCAAAACACTGTTACTAAGATCAAGCACCATCGGCGCATAAATGTCCTCANCATGAAAAGGGGGAACTCGTGAACTCCCTGCTTACTGAGGGACTCTTAAGCGAGGGGGCACCCTAGTGTGGTCCTGGAGTGTTCTGGAGAGGGGCCCCATGGTGGGGGGTTGCCTGACATCCAAAAGAGATAAATTGTTACTTCTCTCCCGTTGGAGGAAGTGGGACTCCTCCCTCGGGGTGAGGGGCGACGCCCTTTGAGCGAGCATCAGCTAGATGATTTGTTGGTTCTAGTTTACTAACAGCTGCATGGTTTGGAGGAGCTGTTGCTCGATGACGGGGGGTCGCTGTAGCAGATGGTTCCGATGGTGCGAGGGGAGGCAAAACCTCTNGACGTACAGGTCATTAGCCTAGGCTAGTCTAGGCTATTCATTATGACCTCGTCTTACGCGATTAGTGTTAGAACGTACTGGTNGGTTCTGATGGTGCGAGGGGAGGCAAAACCTCTTCCTGGTGGGGCGGGTTGTTGTCTCCCGGCTGTTGACTCATTGATCTGGTAGTAATTGTCATGGATTGGAAGAGTAAGAAAACTAGTCGTTTTTCACAGACGGCGCTAAATCCACTCTCGGGAACAACAGCAGTGGCCAGAGATCTTTATTGATGAATAATGTCACCTAGAGAATAACTCCGGGAGTATTACAATATTTTTAGGAGAGAGAAGTGATGGGTGTATAGGACTCAATGTCATGTCAATGTGTCTCTCCTTGTGGAGAGAANTCAATGCGGTAAGGCTCGGAAATGAAAGGCAATAAATGCTCCTAATACAAAGCATTTGTTGCATCCTCCCCGAGAGGAGTACATTGTACCATCGANTATAGGACTCAATGTCATGTCAATGTGTCTCTCCTTGTGGAGAGAACTTACATTATATAAGTTTAGTATGACGGTGACGTGAGGAAGAGTGCTTCTACTAATTTGGTAAGTTCAATCAAGATAAGATTAGATATTTGTGCGTATTTCGATTTTCTACCCCTCGTGCTCCTATTCAATCGGAGGAGGATCTTGGGTTTAGATTTGAGTTGATGGGTGTTGGACTTGAATTAAAATGACAGAGTCAAGAGGACGAAAGATTCCACGAGATTTATGCAGGAGAATGAGTAAGGGACAAAGGAANTCACTCAAAGACTGACTAGATCGTCGGAGGGGATACGCCGGAAAACACTCCGGCGCCCTTCTAACTTGTTCTTCTTTGTTCCAGGGACCTCTTTCAGCCTTACTGGATCGTTCTTCCGTTCCCCCAGGGTCTCCCTTTGTNGGCGCCCTTTTGGGGTAGCCCCTTGAGGGTGTCCCTCTTGAATTCCTTCTTGACTTTAGCTTCTCTTGACTTGGGCTCTTCCTTGACTTAGACTCTAAGGTGACAGAGCCTTTCTTGATTAATTGGGCTTAGTCTGGTTAATTTCAGACTCATCAAATATTATTGTATCATGTTACTGATTGTTCTATGCCACAATCTTTTTTNCAAGGGAGAGATCTGTTCTCGTTTTTTATATTGTACAGGATCTTGCACGCACAATCTCTGTGAATCTTATTGTTCTGTATTGCATCGTTTGTTTCGCGAGAAAATGTTNGTCTGGTTAATTTCAGACTCATCAAATATTATTGTATCATGTTACTGATTGTTCTATGCCACAATCTTTTTTTTAATCCACGTCTACATGCCCTATAGTTCAATACAATTTCTAATTTTTTTTTTTTGTAAATAAATCAATCCAATTTCAATAAATTAGTTGGGTAGTTAATTTGCGTTCAATTATGATACCGAGATGTATTTTTTAGTTTTATATTTTATTTCATTGTTTTACAGTAAATAAACATAAATCAAATAAATAAAAAATTAATTTTTTTTAATACGGTATCCTTATTTTAGAAAGTTAGTATAACTTATTAGTATCGAAAAATCGAATATTCCCTTTACTAGGGCCAGATCGGTTCGCAATGGGCCCACCAAAGTCTTCAAATCCAACAAGTGTCTCGTGACGCCCAAGGAAAGCAATCACAACCGTCAAACTTTCCTCCCAATCTAACGGTCATGATCAATCAACTGTGGTGAAAAAGCAACCTCTCTTCTCTCTCAGTATAAATTTACGAGAAGTGCAATTTGGATGGCACTTTCTGAAGGAAAAAGCTCACAGGGAAACTGCTCGTGTGATTGAAGAACTAACAATGGCGACGATCAAGGTCGTTAAAGCTCGTCAGATCTTCGACAGCCGTGGAAATCCGACCGTTGAAGTAATTAAGCTTTTGATATGGTTCATCAATGTCTTTCTGAGCATTTTGTTCGAGTAGTTCATTGTTATTATCTCTGTGAATCTTATTGTTCTGTATTGCATCGTTTGTTTCGCGAGAAAATGTAGCAAAAAATGGAATTATTAATGGATAAAGTGATCGAGTGTTAGTAGTATTTTGTGGTCTTTGAAATGCGAGAAAGGAGAGAAGAAATTTTCCTGCTGTTTACGGAGGTTTATGGATTTTTTTTTGAATAGTGTTTGATTGGTTATGTTTTGGAGATATTATGTTGAAAGTGTATATGACTGTGTATGGAATCTCCAGGTTGATATTACTCTCAGTGATGGAGCCTATGCCAGGGCTGCTGTTCCCAGCGGTGCTTCAACTAGTAAAACTAAAAAGCTCTAGGTTCCGTTTATGGTTATATATATGTAGACACAGATTCTATGCGCATGTGTGTATAATCATATGTATATGTAAGCTTTGCATGTGTGTAAAAATTAAAAAATCTCGTTGTGTATCACATATGGTTTGGATTGAAGTATTGATGTTTACTCCATATTGTCTTGTATCATATCAATGTAAAGGTACGTTTGAAGCTCTGGAATTGAGAGATGGGGGATCCGACTACCTCGGAAAAGGGGTTCTCAAGGTGTGGATAAGCTGTCCCTTTCTTTTCACCAGAAATAGTAATTACTAACTCGTTGATTTCTTGTATTCTGCTCTTATGACTANTTCATTGTTTTACAGTAAATAAACATAAATCAAATAAATAAAAAATTAATTTTTTTTAATACGGTATCCTTATTTTAGAAAGTTAGTATAACTTATTAGTATCGAAAAATCGAATATTCCCTTTACTAGGGCCAGATCGGTTCGCAATGGGCCCACCAAAGTCTTCAAATCCAACAAGTGTCTCGTGACGCCCAAGGAAAGCAATCACAACCGTCAAACTTTCCTCCCAATCTAACGGTCATGATCAATCAACTGTGGTGAAAAAGCAACCTCTCTTCTCTCTCAGTATAAATTTACGAGAAGTGCAATTTGGATGGCACTTTCTGAAGGAAAAAGCTCACAGGGAAACTGCTCGTGTGATTGAAGAACTAACAATGGCGACGATCAAGGTCGTTAAAGCTCGTCAGATCTTCGACAGCCGTGGAAATCCGACCGTTGAAGTAATTAAGCTTTTGATATGGTTCATCAATGTCTTTCTGAGCATTTTGTTCGAGTAGTTCATTGTTATTATCTCTGTGAATCTTATTGTTCTGTATTGCATCGTTTGTTTCGCGAGAAAATGTAGCAAAAAATGGAATTATTAATGGATAAAGTGATCGAGTGTTAGTAGTATTTTGTGGTCTTTGAAATGCGAGAAAGGAGAGAAGAAATTTTCCTGCTGTTTACGGAGGTTTATGGATTTTTTTTTGAATAGTGTTTGATTGGTTATGTTTTGGAGATATTATGTTGAAAGTGTATATGACTGTGTATGGAATCTCCAGGTTGATATTACTCTCAGTGATGGAGCCTATGCCAGGGCTGCTGTTCCCAGCGGTGCTTCAACTGGTAAAACTAAAAAGCTCTAGGTTCCGTTTATGGTTATATATATGTAGACACAGATTCTCTGCGCATGTGTGTATAATCATATGTATATGTAAGCTTTGCATGTGTGTAAAAATTAAAAAATCTCGTTGTGTATCCCATATGGTTTGGATTGAAGTATTGATGTTTACTCCATATTGTCTTGTATCATATCAATGTAAAGGTACGTATGAAGCTCTGGAATTGAGAGATGGGGGATCCGATTACCTCGGAAAAGGGGTTCTCAAGGTGTGGATAAGCTGTCCCTTTCTTTTCACCAGAAATAGTAATTACTAAACTCGTTGATTTCTTGTATTCTGCTCTTATGACTGTGCAATTTTGATGCTGAATTTGTTTGTAACATATCTAGATTTTGCATGATTGATAATGTTAGACTGACCCAAAACTAGGACAAAAAACAAAGACCATGTTGTTGACGTGGTGATGCAAAATTTGAATTTAATTGGGCAAAAGTGGGACCAAAAGCATCATATCTGTATCCACATATTCCCCCAAAAGCGATGCTTATGTGCTGAAAGGAGCTTCAAGGTAGAAACTGTGTGTATTTTGTTGTATGATGTCATATGTTTGAAATTGATGCAGAAAATTTATATGATTGGACCTTTTAATTAGATTTAATTTTTAACCACCATTCAAGTAGGTGATATAGCATTATGCAATGTAGATAGTTTCACAATTGTAGATTCAATTTTCTTGGTAATGCTAGTCTTGGGATTTTCACAAATCATAAGGGTAATTGTGTGATTNTTTTCCTGCTGTTTACGGAGGTTTATGGATTTTTTTTTGAATAGTGTTTGATTGGTTATGTTTTGGAGATATTATGTTGAAAGTGTATATGACTGTGTATGGAATCTCCAGGTTGATATTACTCTCAGTGATGGAGCCTATGCCAGGGCTGCTGTTCCCAGCGGTGCTTCAACTGGTAAAACTAAAAAGCTCTAGGTTCCGTTTATGGTTATATATATGTAGACACAGATTCTCTGCGCATGTGTGTATAATCATATGTATATGTAAGCTTTGCATGTGTGTAAAAATTAAAAAATCTCGTTGTGTATCCCATATGGTTTGGATTGAAGTATTGATGTTTACTCCATATTGTCTTGTATCATATCAATGTAAAGGTACGTATGAAGCTCTGGAATTGAGAGATGGGGGATCCGATTACCTCGGAAAAGGGGTTCTCAAGGTGTGGATAAGCTGTCCCTTTCTTTTCACCAGAAATAGTAATTACTAAACTCGTTGATTTCTTGTATTCTGCTCTTATGACTGTGCAATTTTGATGCTGAATTTGTTTGTAACATATCTAGATTTTGCATGATTGATAATGTTAGACTGACCCAAAACTAGGACAAAAAACAAAGACCATGTTGTTGACGTGGTGATGCAAAATTTGAATTTAATTGGGCAAAAGTGGGACCAAAAGCATCATATCTGTATCCACATATTCCCCCAAAAGCGATGCTTATGTGCTGAAAGGAGCTTCAAGGTAGAAACTGTGTGTATTTTGTTGTATGATGTCATATGTTTGAAATTGATGCAGAAAATTTATATGATTGGACCTTTTAATTGGATTTAATTTTTAACCACCATTCAAGTAGGTGATATAGGATTATGCAATGTAGATAGTTTCACAATTGTAGATTCAATTTTCTTGGTAATGCTAGGCTTGGGATTTTCACAAATCCTAAGGGTAATTGTGTGATCAGCAGCAATACTGAACTGATTATGATGTGCTTGTACTTTGGTGGTCCAGGCTGTGGAGAATGTTAACTCAATTATTGGACCTGCATTGATTGGCAAGGTGTAGTGCATGCACTGTGTTATTTTTTGTTTAAATTTCATTGTCTTGTTATTGTTGTTCTTGGGATGCAAGTGAAGTGGAGATGATAAGCTGTTCGATACTACGCTATGCGTATTTCCAGGACCCAACAGAGCAGGCCAAAATTGACAATTTCATGGTACAACAACTTGATGGAACAGTAAACNTCAGTGCTGCTCAAAAATTCTTTGTGCATATCCAAATGATCTTAAGGTTGACAGATTGTTTAATGAGTTTTTGTAACGCCTCGATTTTTCTCTTCTTTTCGGAGACGTTAATTGATATAAAAAGACCTAAATAAAATAACAGAGCGCTAATTGTCCCAATAAAATTTTATCNCTTAATTGTAGATTTATTATTATCATTATTATTATTTTAAATTTCAAGATTGTTCCAGCCTCCAGGAAATTGATGCTTTCACTATTTATCCCCTCTTTTGACCATAACAGCTTGGTGCTAATGCTATATTGGTTGTGTCACTTGCTGTATGTAAAGCGGGAGCTATGGTGAACAAAGTTCCTCTTTACAAGGTATGTGCAGTGCTATGAGGTGTGCCCTGTTCTCTTTGTTTTAATATATGTTCTCACTACTTTTGTTTTGTGTTAATTGGTTCCTTGTCTCTACCATGCAGCACATTGCCAATCTTGCTGGAAACAAAACATTGGTGCTGCCTGTACCTGCATTCAATGTCATCAACGGAGGTTCACACGCAGGAAACAAACTTGCAATGCAGGAGTTCATGATTCTCCCTGTTGGGGCTTCTTCATTTAAGGAAGCTATGAAGATGTGTGTGGAAGTATATCATCATTTAAAGGTAGTTCTTTTGCACAATTACGGGTGATGAATGNAGAATCTTAACACAGATCTAACACCTCACCAATCATCCCACCTCAACCCGATCCCACTGGTCTCTTGNTGTGTTAATTGGTTCCTTGTCTCTACCATGCAGCACATTGCCAATCTTGCTGGAAACAAAACATTGGTGCTGCCTGTACCTGCATTCAATGTCATCAACGGAGGTTCACACGCAGGAAACAAACTTGCAATGCAGGAGTTCATGATTCTCCCTGTTGGGGCTTCTTCATTTAAGGAAGCTATGAAGATGTGTGTGGAAGTATATCATCATTTAAAGGTAGTTCTTTTGCACAATTACGGGTGATGAATGACTGTTGTGATCGTGCAACAATTATGGTGAATAATAAGGAATCAAACAATTAAGAAATCAAGAGAAAATAACACACAGATTTACGTGGTTCGGTAATGTGCCTACGTCCACAGGAGTNTATATATTTTTCTTCCCTTTCTTTTATTCTTCTTCACTCACAGTTTCAACAAACCAGTACACACACACATTTTTCTACAACGTATTCAATGTTAACTACCATTTATTTACTTCATGAATTTCTTTATTCTTTCTTTCTCTCTTTCTTTTTCTTTACCTTGTCTTGTATCTTTTANTAACCCTAGTACGGATGTATTTACAAAATACCCCTGTACCGTACCGCGGGGGCATTGCCCCCTCACCCCCAACTAATCAGCGTCCCCCCATACATAAAATATATCAATCCCACAAGGCAGATGTCATCGTGAGTTCCCCTCCACTACGTTTCATTTCGCACCGGCATCTGCCTCCTTGTCATTGTGCACACAGCCAATATGAGCNTTCCTTATTCTTTCACATCAAAACTCATAATATTTTATACTTATCTACCTCTAAAAATTTGGGATCTCACAATCTACGCTCCTTAAAAGAATTTCGTCCCTGAAATTCCTTAGTTCACCAAGAATCCCAAAATTTGTTGGGTGCAAAGTGTCACACGAGAAAGAAAAAGAGTATAAAGTGCTTATTGTTCAAAAGAAAGGGGTTTTATTGAATTTTTTTTTCAATAAAGGTATAATTACACTAACTTTCTCTCAATTCACTAAACCGAAAGTCTGTGTTATACTACTACATCAATTCCACATTCCAAGTGTTCAGAACTTGCACCACCAAATAAAACACAACGAAAACACAGTGAACTCATTTCCCACAAATCCCATATAAGATCAGAAGCCTAAGCTCTGATACTATTTATAGNACAAATCCTATATAAGATCTGAAGCCTAAGCTCTGATACTATTTATAACAAAAACTTGTTTATATTTAAAAGGCATGTATAAGGGACTCTTTTGAGACATTTATTCTTTTATGAATGAATGTACGTAATGATGATGATTATGGTAGTATTCGATACTATACAATTGTGAATGGATGGATAGACCTGGTGTGGTCAATGTTGTACAGGTTGTATTTTGGGTAGAGTTTCTCGTACACAGGAGACTCTGCCCATATTTTGTTAAGTTATGGATCTCGATAAATGGGGCATAACGGCGTGGTATCGAATTACATAGTATTCACGGGTATTCCGCGGGTTGATAGGTAATCAATCGGGTAATTACTGACACCTGGATTTTGGGGTGTCACAGCTAATGTCTCCGAAAAGAAGAGAAAAATCGGGGCGTTATAAATCAGAGAATAATCAAAGAAGCACTCTTTGCAAAGAGATTTAAGGAGAGCATATTGCATACCACCCCGTACTTCATAATCATTATTTGAATTCAATAGCTCAGCTTTCTGTTTTATTCTTCTTACTTTCGGTTAGCTCTCTACTTCCCATTTTTATCTTCTTTGTTTCGGCCAGACAACTCCTTCTCCTTGTCTCTCGGTTTATCTTTCAAGACCACCTCCACTTTCTTTTATTTTTGGATATCTTTATATGCTATGAAGGTGGAACATCTTCTGCCAAATTAATTGGCAGGTGTTGAAAAAAATCTTTCCCAATCAATGCTAATTGCAATTCCTTTAATTCATATATTTATTTATTCTTTCTTTCTCTTTTTTTTTTTTTACCTTGTCTTGTCTCTTTTCTTTTTTTTTTCAAAGTCTTCACGTGGGTGAAGACCAAAGCATCATAAGAGTTAAAGTATTTATACTTTGCTCCCCTTTATTTCACTTATTATATATATCAAGCACAAAACTTTAATATTCTTTATACTTTCACATCAAAACTCCTTATATTTTATACTTAAACTACCTCTAAAAATTTGGGATCTCACAGTTTTAGCCTCAAAGCCTTATTTCTTTGCTAATATTGGAGTGGAATGCAAGCGAATAGTCAAATAAAAATGCAGAAATGATATAGTTTGCGAAGCAAATTCCAGGTAAGGTAGCAAGATTCTTAGTGGGTTAGTAAATAGTAAAATTGATCGTAACTGTTTAGTGGTAGGTGGTCTTTCTGGCCACTTCTTTATAATCAAGCATACTGCTCCACCTTAGCAATCCGCTTATACACAGATTTTTATTTTTAGGTTCCACAAAATATTTTTGTTTGAGTTGCTCAGACAAGTCAATCAATTTTGCAGGAAAACAAAGAGGGTCTTGAACTATTGAAGACAGCTATATCAAAAGCTGGATATGCTGGAAAGGCAAGTTCTCTCATATTTCATCACTAAAACTTATCTCATACTCATAATATGCTTCTAGCCTATTATTTTTGTTAGCATCAACGAGTTGGGTTTTCTGGCAGGTTGTAATTGGAATGGATGTTGCTGCGTCAGAGTTTTATGATAACAAGGACAAGACCTATGATTTGAACTTTAAGGAAGAGGTGATCATCAGCTCTCTAAATTCCCTGAAGTTTGGATGACTAGAAATATGATATTTAGTGTTTCCATGATGCTAGGGATTTAGTTTGCCACCGTGCTTTTTCTGCTTACAAGATTTATCATTCAAATCTTGAACAAGAATTGTTATCAACTTTCTGAATTCCTCTCCGAGTTCCTTGAGTTTGAATAACTCTATAGCATAAGTGATTGCTTAATTGCATGATGTTGTCAATATGATTTTACTTTTCTCTCTGCTTATAGGAAGTTTGGTGAAGAACTGGTTTGAGTTATGTGGATTGTCTGTTCAAAGCCACGGACTAGAAATTGGTGTTATGTAAAACTTAGCTAGCTGACCTGAACTAATGACTTTGTATGTTGCAGAACAATGATGGATCACAAAAGATCTCAGGAGACAGTTTGAAGAATGTCTACAAATCCTTTGTGGCCGAGTACCCAATTGTATCCATAGAAGACCCATTTGATCAGGATGATTGGGAGCATTATGCAAAGTTGACAGTTGAAATTGGTGAGCAGGTGCAAATTGTTGGTGATGATCTTCTTGTCACGAATCCTAAGGTGAAGTTCTTTAACTTGTTCTCTGATTCAGCTATAAAGAGATTCTCTTAATTTCTCACATTTTATGGCTGCTTCAGCGTGTAGAGAAAGCGATTAAGGAGAAGTCTTGCAATGCCCTTCTTCTGAAGGTACTAGAAACTGTTATTATCCTTTCCTTTGCAAAGTAGAAAACAATTGTCAAAACTTGTAATTCCCTTGTGATCTATGTTTAACCCCGCGATGTACTTATATTTTGGTAGCTACAGCCTCCGTGCGTGTATCACTGCAAAAAATATGGGACTTCTTATTATTTCATTTTGCTTTTTAATGGAGATTATTTGGTTGAAAACTACACCATTTTTGGGTCATCCGTCACCAGCTAATTTTTTCAACGTTTTGTTTTATGATTTGTCAGGTGAATCAAATTGGTTCAGTTACTGAAAGCATTGAAGCTGTGAAAATGTCCAAGCGTGCTGCCTGGGGTGTCATGGCTAGCCACCGAAGGTTGTGGCCGTGATTTTTGTTTCTTTCTCTGTTTCTGTATGTTTCAGTTTCTTTCTATGCTCTGAAATGGCATCATTGGTACAAATTTGTCTGTTCAATGCAGTGGTGAAACCGAGGATACTTTTATTGCTGACCTTTCAGTTGGTTTGGCTACGGTAAGCATAAGGGTGTTTCTGTTTTTCTTTAGTAATCTTTTCTTCTTCTCCCTACCCCAAAATTTTCTTGGTTGTTATGATCTTTCATGGACTTTAAGCACTACATGATGTGAATGGCTAAAGTACAGGAAGTATTTTTGCTCTATTGATTGGTGTTAAACTGTGTTGCTCATGTTTGGCATGGTGAGATGATTGTGATTGATTTAGTTCGGACATTCTTTTTGCCATTTCCCTGTCTATTATCATGCTACAGTTAGACAAATGATCTGGAGTTGAAATCAGAGTGCGCAAACCAGCCTGTTTATCTCCATTTAGACCTTATAAACATAACAAAGTTCTCCCCTGATCAATTAGTTATGAAGCTTGTATGTCTGTATGAGGTTGTAACAGTTCGTCAACATGCAACTTAAAATCCAATTTCATTGGGGCATGTGAAAAATCTCAATTTATTGTTCTTTACCTCCAACCTAGTAATATAGGCTCTGTTATAGTCCTTGTGATCTGATTGTATGTGCTTATCTTACAACAGGGCCAGATCAAGACTGGTGCCCCTTGCAGATCAGAACGGCTTGCTAAATACAACCAGGTGATTTTTTATTGTCTTTAGCTTTAGCCACTTTGATGAGCATGACTGTGTAGCTGCAACGTACCACTCTTTTATGTGATGGTTAATTCAATTGTGTACATGGGGTATTTATTTCATTACAATCAGAAGTTAGAATAAATCCTTTCTCATACTTGATGACCATTGACTTGCTTAAAACTGGTACTGCACAGTGCCTTTCATCATATGACGCCTTTTTGTTGAGCTATTATTTAATTTTCTCTAGTATGGATGAAATTAAATTTTAGATGCGTATTCTTCCTGAACTGCAGCTTCTTAGGATAGAAGAGGAATTGGGATCTGAAGCAGTCTACGCAGGAGCAAAATTCCGATCACCGGTGGAACCTTACTAACCCTTGATTGTCTGCGGTAATAAAGCTTCACAAGTTCTCGTATTATCCAGCATATAATTTGTGGTACTTGTAGTACTCTCTTGGGGGGAAACCCTGAACTTTGGTTGTTTTTTTTAAATGATTATGGTTTTTTTTTTTTTTTTTTTGGGGGGGGGGGGAGGCACCTTGCGTTATCTATACGGGTTTTTGATGGAGGTAATAGTTTGAGCTTGCAGTGTGTAGTGTGTGTGTGTGTGTTTTAATGAATGTTGAGTTGTGACTTCAGTTTGTGGTAGATATTTTTAAACTGAAACTGGGTGGGTAAGTTTAAATTCTGACTTGTTTCTCTGCTAAAGTGCCTTGTGTATGGTTACCATATGGTGAAAACCTTTGGTTGGTAAAGATCTCTTTTACCATGAGTTCGAATGTCAGGTATTCTTGTGCCTTAAGACTATTGTTATCAAAATCGTCCGATTCGATTCGATTTAATCTCCATTCTATTCCTATCTAACCATAGGATTATTTTTGGCTGAGAATCACACCTGAATCAAAAGAATTGTGCGATTCGAATGGATTTAATCTCCATTTGATTTGTATTTTATTATAGAGTTATTTTTGACTGATAATTGCACTTGAATCGTACGATTTGATTTCGTTTCGATTAGATTCAAAGGAATCACATGATTTGTTGTATTTTTTTAACCCTATTTGTAGTAAAACAAAATCATTTTATTAGAAGAGGCTCACCTTAAATATAAAATTTTAGTCTTTCTCTATATGTCCTGTGTGCAATTTTGCCTCTCAAACTGACTATTCAGATGACGTCTCGTTCACTTTAGGTATGTTTCTTCTTCCTCTTCAAAACTAACTACCAAATACTAACATATCTTATTTCTTCTTTTTTAATACATGATCTGTTTTTTGTTTTTTTTTCAAATAATTATTTTTCAAAGAAATGTGAGAAGTGATTTTGTAAGTTTATATGTTGAATTTTGATTCCTGAAATTATCAAATTTAAGATTTTAATTTTCGATATGAATCTCTTCTGGATAACTATGTTCTAAGTCGTGAAGGAATTTTTGGTCNTGTTTAACCCCACGATGTACTTATATTTTGGTAGCTACAGCCTCCGTGCGTGTATCACTGCAAAAAATATGGGACTTCTTATTATTTCATTTTGTTTTTTAATGGAGATTATTTGGTTAAAAACTACACCATTTTTGGGTCATCCGTCACCAGCTAATTTTTTCAACGNCAAGAACATAGTTTAAAATGGATGAAAATTTGCTTAAAAGGTAAGAATGTGGCCCCATAGCGCTAGAATATTCTAATTGGATTTAAACTCAAACAATACTCAAAGTTGAAAGTTTAGGTTTGTCAAACGTTCAACTCAAACTTAACTTAAATTTAAATTCAAAATTTATTTTGAATTAGATGATTTAGTGATCCCATTTGGACTGAACTCAAATTCTAGCAAAAATTGTGTTACTTGAGAATTGAAAATGACTTTAATCTAATATCAAATGAGTTGTGTAATTGAGTTTTATCTTGAGTTCTAATTTCAAACATAAACAATACTCCAGATTTTGAATTGAACTTGGATCAAGGGATTATGATTGAGCTAAATTGAAAAATTTAACCTTTCTACACACTCAACTTGTCCTAATTGCACCCTAGGGGATCTCATGTTCATGTCCATCCCTAAACTTGAAAGGAGCCGCCACGTGTAATATTTAAATACTTGAGAGAATAATCTTTAGTAATAGTTTAGTGGCTAAGTCTGGCTTCTTGCAAGAAAAGTTAATAAGGTTTTAAACTTCACATACCTTCTAAGGTCCACTCTTCATCATGCGTCAGTATGACGGTTTAAATTGACTTAAATCTTTAAAATCAGATTCAAATTTAAAAGAATAATCGACACAAACAAAATATCCTGGAAAAGAAAAAAAAAGTACTTAGAGAGATTTTCAAGTCCCCAAAATCAATTGGAAACTTAAAGTCTAAGCTAATAAAAGTGTCATGAAATTGATTCCGTGGTTGGATCCTACCCTACCCACTAATGAATTGAAATATTGGTTACTCATGAAACATGTGTGGTAAAATAGGAAAAAAATAAATAATTATTTCTAATAATGGAGGACTATAGAATATGATAGTACTTGTCCCACCATCCACAATTATTTTAAATTCTCTCGATGCTCTCTTCCTCAGAGTTACATGATTATGTGAGAGCCAATCTATGAACTTGTGCATAGTGTTGTGCACAATCTTTTTTTTTAATATCATAAAACATATCGTGTGAATTAGTTTATTTGAAAGGAACTGATTATATTTTTATTGTTACCATGAAAAACTTGATCGATGACTCATAAATTTTGAATATCAGTGTACACAACACAAATGCGTCGGACAAGTCCAAAGAAATTTAGTGTAGAACCATCGATCCTAAGTTTATTTTTCAATGCTCCTACCATTCTACGTGGACTTACGAATTAGAATCCTATTACATTGTTGTAGTAAGATGGTGCATTTTACTAAACTTCTTTTTTTTTTTAGTTTCTTTTATTTAATATAATATTTCGTAGTTTTTTCTCTCTCTCATTTGATGTAGAGAGGTATTTCTCGATTGAGATCCATTGTAATACAATTTTTCTTAACGATAAATTATTTTCATTTTGTTGGTAAAAAATTCATTCATATATAGTGGTTCCATTTTAATTTCTATAAAATTAAGGAAACATAATATATAAATCTCTCTCTCTCTCTCCTATGACTACAATGAAACGGATGATGACATCTAATTTTGATTTGATTTCACAACACCCATTCTTTTTGGAAGATGCACTGATACTATCAGCTCTATAACCAGATTCTTTAACTTTATGCTCCAACATACTTTCTAATGCTTTTTTTTTTTTGGTTGGTTAAGAAGGTGGTCTAAGCAATCAGGTATAGCAACTTCAACACGTTACCTTAAAGTTCATATACGCCGTAAAATATTTGTTTTGCGTCATAGTTATTGACCTAGGATGGTCAAGTCTGTCATGACAACACAATCGAGAACAAGCTGAACATTCAATAATATTTGGTTTACAAGAACTATTATCGCAAGTAAATTTGAACCAAAGACCACTTCAAAAAAATAAGATTTTCACCATCTACTGTATAGTCAACTAGACTGCAACCTCGGTGATTAACATACTTCTAATTACCCAATAATGGGTTGATAAATGAACATTCCACAGTTATAAGATCTTAAAAATTTTATCTATCTTTAGTAACTATTTTTTTTTCATCCTATTTAAAAAAAAAAAAAAACCCTCATTTTTACATAATCATTAGGACTAAGATTGAATTTAGACCTCTAAAAATATGTAGCTTTTTTTTATTTTTCCCTCGTTCTAATATGGCGAGTATGATTTTC